TCTTAGGGAAATTCTAAAGCAAAGCTCCTTACAGGAACATAGCAATAAAAATTGACATACAGTAAAAAAAGAGAACGAAGGATTGTAGAGAAATTCTAAAGCAAAGCTCCCTACAGCAACGTAGCATGAAAAATTGGCAGGCAGTAAAATAAAGAGAACGAAGGGTCTTAGGGAAATTCTAAAGCAAAGCTCCTTACAGGAACATAGCAATAAAAATTGACATACAGTAACAAAAGAGAACGAAGGATTGTAGAGAAATTCTAAAGCAAAGCTCCCTACAGCAACGTAGCAATAAAAATGACAGACAGTCAAAAAAAGAAAACGAAAGATTTTAGAGAAACTCTAAAGCAAAGCTCCATACAGGAATGTAGAATGAAAAATTGGCAGGCAGTAAAATAAAGAGAACAAAGGATTTTAGAGAAATTTAAAAGCAAAACTCCTTATAGGAACATAGCAATAAAAATTGACAGGCAGTAAAATAACGAGAAAAAATGATTTTAGAGAAACTGTAAAGCAAAGCTCCGTACAGGAATGTAGAATGAAAAATTGGCAGGCAATGAAATAAAAACAACAAAGGCTTTTAGGGAAACACTAACGCAAAGCTCTCTACAGCAACTTGGCAATAAAAATTGACATGTTGGCTTTTTGAGAAACTCAAAAGCAGAGTAAGTTATAGTAAGTGATAAACGAAAGTTAATACGCAAGGAAATAAAAATAAAAGTGGTTTTTAGAGAAGCTTTTCAAAAGAGCTACCAGCAGTAAGTTAGAAAAAAAATTCATGCGGAAGGAAACAAAAATATAGAAGGTTTTTAGAGAATTATTTTTACAAAGCTAACAACAGTAAGAAACTTTTCATCAAAAGTAACGCATACATAGTAAGTCATGAATAGAATTTAATTCTCAAGGAAAAACTATACTTTGAAATATAATGGTAATTTGAAAAAAATAATTTTCCTTGGAAAGTATAAGGTTTGCACTTCAGAATTAAAGGTCTGCACTTCAGAAAAAAAGCACAAGGATCCACGCTATTTAAGTTTCTAAGTTTGGAATTTGAAGGAAAGGGAACCGACATACCTGCAAAAGTCATACAAGTTCTTATGAAGGTTTTAGTCCAGATCCCATTCATATCCAATTTCTAGGTGTTCAAAGCATCAACTGGCTATATTGATGGAGCTCTGAAGAGGAATTTGTGAGCCCTAGGATTTTAACAAAAAATAGCATTGGAAGTAGTTGAAAAATATTTCAATAAAGGTTCAAGAAAATGAAAGTTTCTGGAATTTTGTCCAAAAGAACAGAGTCCTGAGCAAAAGCAAGACCTAAAAGACTGAAGAAAACCAACCAAACTGTTTATCAGTAAAGGAGATCTGGAGAACGTTATCGAGAAAGTATGAAATTAAAAAGTCGTTTCAATCAAAGTATCGAAATCATAGATGGCTTTTTGATTGTTAACATTTTTTCAACGTTCTAAAAAAGCAACAAAATTTTGTTTTCAAAACTGAATTGCCAAAAAATTGACATTGGTTTTCCTAATGAAGGGTAGTATCGTTGCTAAGAGGATATCTTCAAAAGTAGCATCAGTGAAGGTAATGTCACAGTAGTTAAAAGTAATATATAATGATTTACATTAGACTTTGATTGGCATCACATTGCAGGCTTAGTTTGCAAGAATTTGGATAAATTAAACAAGTGAGGATATTGTCCTAAATTCTTCCTAAACTTTCAATATTTTAGTCATAGCCTTAAAATCCACAAAACAATATGCAGCTGTGTCCTACATCAAGCTACTTATGAAACAGACCAGAAGTGAGGGAGCCAAAATAAGAAATCCACACAGACACGCCCTTTATTAAAGGTTACACCCAAAAATGATGTAAAGAATTAGTTGCTACATTATCTGCAGACGGAAGGAAAGTTTTGTAATGCATTCATTCTGGGGGACAATGCATAAATATTAATAACATTATTTTATGGGAAAAGAATCTTTATTATTGAAATTAAATTAATGGCAATCTCGGCCTAAATATCTATAAAAAAGGAAAATGTTTGTGAGGAATTCAAAACTGTCTACTCTTGATTTGAAATTATATAACAGTAGAAGAAAGTGGTAACTTTGTGGTTTCGTTTGGGGATGTCAGGGACTTTTATCCTGCCAAAAATTATAACTATTTAATGAACATTGATTCAGAGGAACATTTGAATGATGAATGAAGCAAAAAATTGAAAACAATGGGCAGCAAGGGATTGATGAAGGGAGGGGATTCAGGGGCTTGCCCTTAAAAAAAATTTAAGGACCAAGCCCTCTGAATTGTACAAAAACATAACTACAACAAGAGTGAATATAAAGTCATTATTCTCATTTCGGCTGGAAAAATTCCTTGGACCATTATGCTCTAACAAATCACTGCTGACATAGGCTCTGGTATTAAAAGATCAATTTAATCACAGATAATCTGGTTTCCATCTTTGCTATGCTTTAAAGAGCAAAATCTTCTCAAGGCTAAGTATACAAAGGAAAATTACAGAACATTTTGGCAAAATACATTAATTTAAAAGATGAATTGATGAAATTTTTCTGGCACAAAAGAAAAGGAGGTTTTCCAAACAGAAAATTAACATTCTTTTAGGAACAGTGACTAAATTCAGAGCATTAATTAAGCAAGATTTAAAACAATATAGAAAATTAAAAATGATATTGATGTCCTTAGATTGCAAAATCTTTTTGAAGACAGCAAGGAATGGTAAGTGTGAATTGAAAAGCATCTGATTTCTTGCAGGAGTGCAAGGAGGACTGTTTCTATTATCAAGACAGCATTTATTTAAAGAAAATTATATTCAACTTTGGTGGAAACAACATATGATACACTGGAAAAAGTCTTATTTGTTGATAGCTCTTTTAGTTTGCTTCACATTTTAAAATACTTTTTAAAATACTTGATTCGAAAGATAGATTACATTAAATGAAAGATACATCAGATTTGAAAGATACATTAAATTATATTTATTGGCAAAATGCTATATCATAATTAACTACCTGGTTTTTGGTTCCAAAGTTTTCCCATCAAGACAAAATACCACAGAAATCAAGCAGGATGCAAATATCCATGACTCTACATAAAACAAATTTAGACATGAATTTTTATATCATGTAGATCATCAAAATTTTAGTATATAGTCTTTCACAAACTGGCATTGATTTTTATTAGTTTCAATGCTGTGTTTAAAAATCTTATATCAAAACTTTTAACCATTCTGTTGGGGTCTTGGAGTATTTGCTCAATAATTTATTGTAATGGTTATTGACCTTTACATTTAAAGGCTGATTCACTTTTACTTTTACATTTACAAATAAAATTTTCATTTACTAAAGTATAATTAGAAATTGTTGTGTTTTTTTCTTAAAAAAGAAAAATTAGATAATGACTTTTGAAATCATCTTACATTGAGCTGCAATCCTTCAGAGCAGATTAAATGCTGGTCAAATGAAATTCTATCAGAGCTTTTTTGATGAGAGATGTTATAGAATTTGAAATCATTAAAAGGGTTCTTATTTTCTTTCAATTTTATTAATCAAATTTAGGTGTAAAGTTATGCTATTAAGCCTTAATTTGCTGTTTTGATGCCTTTGGGAATAATGGTGAAGTTGTAGTTGGGTTTTCTTGGGTGAAAGTTGTTACAGAGAGTGTAAGTAAGTGTTTTGGATAGGGCTTCTTGATTTTTATGTATGCTCTTGCCAGGCTGTTCTCTTCTCCTGTCCCTCTCTCCCCTTCTGGTTTAAAGTAAAGTGTGTTTCTTCAAATCCTCTATAATTTTACCTCATAGGGGTTTGGGCTTATTCACATAACAGGATTCAATTAACAGATTATTATGATTTCATTAAGGGTCGACTTGGCTCTTTAAGTTTTGTTCCTCTTCCCCTCTCATACTTTATGCAACTAAGGTAGGATGGTGCATCAGCTCCCTGGTGGGATAAGCTGCCTTGTTACTTGAATCAATCAAGTTATATCTAAGGTCTAGGGCAGGCATTCTTAAACCCCTACCTGCGGGTCATCTCTGGCCCACAGCAAAATGTCATCCTGCCTGCCGAATACATTTCACCTCAAAAATATTTTTTGCCAACATTTTCAAAATTTGGAATTCAATTTATCTTTGGTTTTCCTTTGTCCCCTCTGATATATTTTTTTTCTCTTTAATCAATTCTAAATGTGTTCCATAGACAGTTTTTAGTCCAAAAGAGAATAACAAAATAGGAAATGTCTTGTTTCCTTTTTCATATCAACAGATAAAACTATGGAACCTAGTCAAGAAAATGCCTTGAATTTTCTCCTGTTAATATCTATTTGAGGTGTTGTTTCTGGCCATTCCTAGATTAATATAGCCTAAAATTTTTCTTGCCGCCAAACATGGTGGTGGCCTTGACTAAATACATCAACAAACATAAGATTTTGGCCTTTCTTTAAAATAAGCTGTGCAGTCCCTTGACCTGACTTCAGGCACTTCAAATCGACCCAACAAGAGACTAACGACGATGAACGTTCTAGCCTAAAAATAGCATAGAACAATTTCCTGACTCAGTCTGGTACAAGAAACATAAAGTTACAGACCTTTGTAAAAACTATTTTTTGGGTTTATGTGAAGGTAGATAAGATAGGCAGCCACAAAATAAAAGGCCTGTCTATTTTAACACTAACTTAGCCTGGTAAAAATGAGATCTGAGTTTCATTTTGAGCAGCCTACACAAGGTATGTAAAAGTTGAAAACCAACTGGCCCCCGAAGAAATTCTATATGTTTTTCTGGCCCGGCATTTAAAATCATTAAGAATCCCTGGTCTAGGGCTTTATATGTGATTATTGATCGATTTTTACCAAGGCACCAACAGCCACATGCGGAAGTGAAGGCTCAACACCTGATTTGTAGAATGGCAAAAATCGATTAAGAACCTAAGATAACAAAGTGATAGATAATAATTCCTAAACTTCCACTAAAAAATAGCCCTTCTTGTTGCTTAAAGCCTATTCAACACTCTACAACACGCAAAACAAAATGATTCTAAACGCCACAAACAACAGACAAGAACAAACACAAAACATCACTGAACATAAAAGTGTGACATGCCAATGGAAGTGTCTTCTGAAGTAAATAATATTTTTAAATTTAAAGAATTCCTTTTTTATTGTTTTCCTCCCTGAGAAATTAATCTCTTTACGAGTTTTTTACTCAAAAGAGATTTAATAATTTTGAAAAACAAATCTGAGAGATTGCAAGAGCCCTATACGACACAGCGATCAATATTTGCCACTCTCTAGAGAATGGCAACTTAGTTTGGTGACTTCATGGCATAGCACCCAAGAACAACATCTCATGAAATAATCCCAATTCTCTTTTTCTCTAGTTATTGCATGCAATGTAATTTTAGAACATAACTTACAGAAAAGACGGCGCTAAAAACACCACAGGGATTGATCAGAAGCTGGCCTAACATCATATGGCGTTTATAAAATAACAGTAGCAGCAAAGACATACCTTCGGCCTTTAACTGTTCAACATTACAATATATTTATCTAACATCTTGTCGCATAGTAAATATAAATTTTCTTGGAATAACTATAACACGTGAGCCGCTTATGACGAAAACAACTTTCTTCGAAGCCATGTTTGTAATCACACGAAAGGCGAATAGCATTCTGGGTAGTAAAGCTCCTTCGTCGATACGTGTTGACGAAAGAAGATATCTTTACTGTTTTCAAATAACTTCTTTTTGGCCATATGGAAAATCAGAGTCACTAATTATATTTTAAAGAAAAAGCTAGCTAAAAAGGCAAAGAAAACGACGACATTTATTACGGACGCAAAAATTGACAATACTAAAAAAATTGAAAAGAAGAATCCATGTTGACAGAGAACTGCCTTAAGTTAAATTGTTGGGGAAGAATTATATTTGATGTAGCTGTAACTATCTAAAATTTGTTAGAAAAAGCCAGTGAAAGAAATTTTGTAAAAAGAAATATCAAAAGTTGCGAAGGCATAAAAGTTTTCCCTAGTATGCTCATTGAAATGCTACTGAATAACTCAAAGATGACGTCAGACTCTTTTCTTTCTTTATGCATTCGCCAATACAGATGAAATTTATGCATTTATAAAGCACGGATTAACTGTATACCATCTACTTAATGGATAACAAGTCTACCTGCGGGACATCATTTATAGCAAAGTTATTATGCTAACTACTTCCATACAAGGCCCTTTCTTTTACTTTTGTAGAAAGGTTGCAAAAAATCGGCCTATTGGTTTGAGAAAGAATTGAAGCAGTTGTCAACTCTGTATTTCATCCCAAGTTGATAATACGACCCTCCTCAAGCCAAAAGACAACAAAAACAATAGTTCGGTATTATTTGGACAATCAAAGGACTTGACTGAAGTATTGGAGTGGACAAATAGAATTAACTGAAACACAGAGTAATTAACGATACAAATTTCCTTGGACGTTGTTTTGACTGAGGAGCAACAACCAGTAATAAACTCTCGAGAATATCTTCATTTATACCAATATAAATCAGCTATTTACTCAGTTTTCAAACAGCTAATTGGCAGATGTGATTCTTGTAAAACACTACCAAAACAACGAAAACCTGTGTATAAGCCACACTTGTCTAATCATTGTAGTTTGTTTTTTTATGTAGCACCCCCAGCCCAATCCACTGTTTCCCTTTAAGCAAAATGATCTAGTGAAAGAATAAAGGGAAGAATAGCCCATTGAACGATGGAAACGTTATCGCGGGGTATTGGAAGGGGCATTCATCTTGTTATTTGGAGAATTTACTTCGAAAATTGGGATTTTTGGCATTGGAAAAAGGAAAGAAAAATAACTAAGAATCAAACAAATTTCTTTCACTTCCTTGAAAATAAAACTGGTTTCGCGGATCTAAAAAAAATTTGGAAAATATAATGTTCGGCTTATCGATAAATTAGAAACACTGGGCTTCTTTTCCGTTTATTTTGCCTACAAATCTTATTTTCTTGATTAATTACATACTTCTCCACGGGTATTATCTAAAGCTGATACTAAGTATACTCGGTGAAGGTTATAGGCAGGTTTTGAGATTTAGATTAAAGATTGTAAAATACCCAACTTTAATGTTTTATAGAATTAAATGGGAAGTAAATAGCTAATAATAATATATATAATTCTACGAGCTGTTGTCTTGCTCTGCATTGTTTTCCGAATAATTCAGTGCTATTTCGTATACCTTATCGTAGTTACTAACAAAATGCACTTCTAAGTTTTGTTTTATGAAACTTTGCAAGTTGTCATGTCCTTTTCTGTTGCCTTCTGGTAAAATGACTGTTGATATATTTGCACGTTTTGCCTGAAAGGAAAAATTTATCAAGGTTCATAATTAATGAGTCATTGTGTTTAAATGTTGTGTGATCAAAAATTTAGTTTGCCTATAAGGATATTAAGCATATAGAAAGGGCAGGCCTGTGAAATCCTATAGAATAGAACCAGATGTTATTTGAAAATAATGAGAGAGTGCTGTCTTGTCTGTATGTAAAGATCAACACCAACATTATATCTTGGGCAGAGACCGTCCAAAGAGGGGCAGAGAGGAAGAACAACAAGAGACGGTATAAAATGTCGAAGAGACACCAACGAAAATGACAAACTTCAATGGGTGTTGAAAAAGTTTTTTTAGAGAATAAATAAAAAAATAAATCAGGGAAAAGGTCAAAGAGGAAGAACAACAAAAGGCGGTCTCAAGTACCGGAGAGACACAAACGAAATTAACAAGCTTCAATGAGTGTTTAGAAAGAATTTTTTTAGAGAATAAATAAATACAAAATCAGGGAAAGGGCGGAGAGGCAGAACAACAAGGGACAGTCTCAAGTGTCGAAAAGACACCAACGGAAATCACAAGCTTCAATTGATGTTGAGAAAGTAGTTTTAGAGGATAAATAAAAGATTTAATCAGGGAAATGGGCAGAGAGGAAGGTCAACAAGGGACAGTCTCAAGTGTCGATCAACGACAAATGAAAATTACAAGCATTAATGAAAGTTGAGAAAGATTTTTTAGATAATTAATAAAATATTTAATCAAGGAAAAGGGCTGAGAGGAAGAACAACAAGGGACAGTCTCAAGTGTCGAAAAGACACCAACGGAAATCACAAGCTTCAATTGATGTTGAGAAAGTAGTTTTAGAGGATAAATAAAAGATTTAATCAGGGAAATGGGCAGAGAGGAAGGTCAACAAGGGACAGTCTCAAGTGTCGATCAACGACAAATGAAAATTACAAGCATTAATGAAAGTTGAGAAAGATTTTTTAGATAATTAATAAAATATTTAATCAAGGAAAAGGGCTGAGAGGAAGAACAACAAGGGACAGTCTCAAGTGTCGAAAAGACACCAACGGAAATCACAAGCTTCAATTGATGTTGAGAAAGTAGTTTTAGAGGATAAATAAAAGATTTAATCAGGGAAATGGGCAGAGAGGAAGGTCAACAAGGGACAGTCTCAAGTGTCGATCAACGACAAATGAAAATTACAAGCATTAATGAAAGTTGAGAAAGATTTTTTAGATAATTAATAAAATATTTAATCAAGGAAAAGGGCTGAGAGGAAGAACAACAAGGGACAGTCTCAAGTGTCGAAAAGACACCAACGGAAATCACAAGCTTCAATTGATGTTGAGAAAGTAGTTTTAGAGGATAAATAAAAGATTTAATCAGGGAAATGGGCAGAGAGGAAGGTCAACAAGGGACAGTCTCAAGTGTCGATCAACGACAAATGAAAATTACAAGCATTAATGAAAGTTGAGAAAGATTTTTTAGATAATTAATACAATATTTAATCAAGGAAAAGGGCTGAGAGGAAGAACAACAAGGGACGGTCGCAAGTGCCGAAGAGACACCAACGAAAATCGCAAGTTTAAATGAATGTTGAGAAAGTAGTTTTAGAGAATAAATAAAAGAATAAATAGAGGGAAAGGGGCAGAGAGGAAGAACAACAAGGGAAGGTCTCAAGTGTCGAAGAGACACCAACGAAAATCACAAACTTCAGTGAATATTAAGAAAGTTGTTTTAGAGAATAAATAAAAAATTTAATCAGGGAAAAGGGCTGAGAGGAAGAAAAACAAAGGAGGGTCTCAAATGTCGAACAAACACAAATTAAAAATTCAAGCATTAATGGAAGTTGAGAAAGATTTTTTAGAGAATAAATCAAATAAATATATTAGTGAAAAGGGCAACGAGGAAGAACAACAAGGGACAGTCTCAAGTGTCGAAAAGACACCAACAAAAATCACAAACTTCAGTGAATGTTACGAAAGTTGTTTTAGAGAATAAATAAAATATTTAATCAGGGAAAAGGGCTGAGAGGAAGAACAACAAGGGACGGTCTCAAATATCAACAAACACAAATTAAAATTACAAGCATTAATGAAAGTTGAGAAAGATTTTTTAGAGAATAAATAAAATAAATATATTAGAGAAAAGGACAACGGGGAAGGACAACAAGGGACGGTCTCAAGTGCCGATGAGACACCAACGAAAATCACAAACTTAAATAGATGTTACGAAATTTGTTTTAGAGAATAAATAACAGATTTTATCAGGGAAAAGGGCAAAGAGGAAGAACAACAAGGGACGGTCTCAAATGTCGAACAAGCACAAATGAAAATTACAAGCATTAATGAAAGTTGAGATAGAATTTTTAGAGAATAAATTAAATAAATAAATTAGAGAAAAGGGCAAGGAGGAACGACAACAAGGGACGGTCTCATGTGTCGAACAAATACAAATGAAAAATACAAGCATTAATGAAAGTTGAGAAAGAATTTTTAGGGAATAAATCAAATAAATAAATTAGAGAAAAGGGCAAGGAGGAACGACAACAAGGGACGGTCTCATGTGTCGAACAAATACAAATGAAAATTACAAGCATTAATGAAAGTTGAGAAATAATTTTTAGGGAATAAATCAAATAAATAAATTAGAGAAAAGGGCAAGGAGGAAGGACAACAAGGGACGGTCTCAAGTGTCAAACAAATACAAATGAAAATTACAAGCATTAATGAAAGTTGAGAAAGAATTTTTTGGGAATAAATCAAATAAATAAATTAGAGAAAAGGGCAAGGAGGAAGGACAAAAAGGGACGGTCTTAAGTGTCGAACAGATACCAACGAAAATCACAAAATTCAATGAATTTTGAGCCGATTTTTTAGAGAATAAATTAAAGAAATGAATCAGGGAAAATAGCAAAGAGGAAGAATAACAACGGACGGTCTCAAGTGCCGAAGAGACACCAACGAAAATCACAAACCTACAGAAATGTTAAGAAAGTTGTTTTAGAGAATAAATAAAATATTTAATCAGGGAAAAGGGCTGAGAGAAAGAGCAACAAGGGACGGTCTCAAGTGACGAGCAAACACAAATGAAAATTACAAGCATTAATGAAAGTTGAGAAAGATTTTTTAGAGAATAAATCAATTAAATAAATTAGAGAAAAGGGAAACGAGGAAGGACAACAAGGGACAGTCTCAAGTGTCGAAAAGTAGCCAACGATCAAAGGGCACTCAGAAAAGACATTGCTCTAAAAATTCGTAGAGAAACCATGGAAAGTTCTCAACTTAATCATCGATTTAAAATAGAAGTCTATGTTGAATAAAAAATAAGAAAGTAGCCAACGATCAAAGGGCACTCAGAAAAGACATTGCTCTAAATATTCGTAGAGAAACCATAGAAAGTTCTCAACTTAATCATCGATTTAAAATAGAAGTCTATGTTGAATAAAGAAGATGAAAGTAACCAACGATCAAAGGGCACTCAGAAGAGACATTGCTGTAAAATTTCGTAGAGAAACCATGGAAAGTTCTCAACTTAATCATCGATTTAAAACAGAAGTCTATGTTGAATAAAGAAGATGAAAGTAACCAACGATCAAAGGGCACTCAGAAAGGACATTGCTCTAAATATTCGTAGAGAAACCATGGAAAGTTCTCAACTTAATCATCGATTTAAAATAGAAGTCTATGTTGAATAAAA